TAATCATAACAAAGAACATTACTAATATTAGAAACACGAATACTCATAATAACGATGAGACTAATAATACGACGCATACTAATAATGCTAAGAATATTACCAATCATGAGAGGAAGACGAATGCTACTAAGACGACTAAGAAGAAACCAATACTAATAATACTAAAACTAGTAAGAATAATCGGAATACTCGTAAAGAGTAATAATGCCAATCATTATACTAATAACTATAGATATAAGAAGAATATGAAGAGGAGGAGGAGGAGGAGGAGGAGGAGGCGGAGGCGGAGGCGGAGGCGGAGGCGGAGGCGGAGGGGGAGGAGGAGGAGGAGGAGGAGGAGGAAGAGGGGGAGGGGAGGAGGAGGAGGAGGCGAAGGAGGAGGAGGAGGAGGAGGAGGAGGAGGAGGGAGGAGGAGGAAGAGGAAGAGGAGGAGCAGGAGGAGGGAGGGAGGAGGAGGAGGGGGAGGGGGAGGGGGAGGGGGAGGAGGCGGATCCGCGCGCATCGAGGCGGGCCACCACCTGAGGTACCAGGACCCCCGACCGTGAACACGACGAGGTTGAGCTCACACGAGGACGGACTTACCCTTGCCGTCCATGTCCACGGGAGAGGGAAGGGGCGAGGGCCCTGCACGCGAAGCGGCGAGGCCGCCTACCACCCCCCCCCGCTGCTCCCCCCGCGGCCAGCCGCCCCCGCTCCGATCTCCCGGGCCCTCAGCTCGACGAGGTCGCGCACGCGGTCCTCGTCGCCGCCGCAGCGCCTGCGGAGGAGCTCGCAGGCGGCCCCGAAGGAGCCGGCGGCCATGAGCTCCTCGAGCAGGCCGCCGACGCCGCCAGGAGCAGCAGCAGGCGGGCGAGAGCGCGCATCGCCCCCACCCGTGGCGCTCGGAGGGCGGCGACATGGCCGACGCACGATCGGCAGATCGTCGGCCCAGTCGTCGGGCGCCAGCTCCGAAGGCCCCTCCTCCGCAGCCCCTCCCATGCCAGGGTCGTCCACCACGGCGTCCTCCTGCCCAGCCTTTGCCACCGCCCGTCTTGCCGCCGCCGCCACGAGGCCGCCGCCGCCGCTGCCGAGGGGCAGCATGCGGCGCGGCACCAGCCGCCGCGTCCAGCGCGGGCGCTGGAGGCTTGGCCAGGAGGGCCACCGCGGCCCTGACCATGCCCTCGGCCGTGCGGAGGAGGCGGCGTGCATCGACCATCTCCGTGCTGCCCGTGGTGAGCCCTGCCGCCGAGTGCACGGCCAGCAGCGCGCCGCGCGCGACCTCCAGCGTCGCGCGGCGGGCTCCATCGCCAGACGCCGGTAGCATCGGGAACGCCGCGGCAGGACGAGCGACCCTGCAGGCGAAACGTGAGTCAAGATGCTGACTTGAGCCAAAATGGCTACGGAGGGGGAGGAGGAGGAGGAGGAGGACGACGATGTGACTGGCTTCAGGTGGGAAAGCAGTGGTCCCTGGGCTTGGACCTGTTGGGCGGGGGGCTTTCAGATCATCAGGGGCCGAACGCCTGAAGTTGGGCCAGGAGGTCGATGAGGCCTCTGAGGATGGGAGTGAGGAGTGAGTCAGGAAAGGAGTGGACACATGAGCAGGACAAGGACTTTGACTAGAACCTAAGGGTATACACATATATTGGGCAAATGCCTTCGACAAGGACATGGGGCAAATACCTTCGACTGGAACCTAAGTGTTTACACGTGCATGTCGGCTACTTTCTTGAGTGGGCATTCTTTTTTTCCGCCCTTGCAAATGTTCTGACCTCCCCCGCTTCTGATTCCTGTTCCTCCTGCTGCTCCTTTGTCCCTCCTCTCTCTCAACCCTCCGTGTACGCAGATCCTCTTCTTGTCATTCCTCCTCCTGCTCCACTTGCTCGAGCACTCCCTCCTCCGCCGCTTCCTCCTTGTGCCCCTATAGTCGGCCCTGATTAGTAGGTCGACCCTGCCAAATCGAGGGTTTCGCAACATTGCTATGGCTGTGTGGCCCTCTGAAGGGTCTTGTGTCCTCTCGCGTGTCCTGTCCAATCAAGTCCGACTGTGTGGAGCTCATGGCCGTCATCTTCTTCCGCGCCCCCCGTCGGCATCGGCGGCACCGAGCGTCGGCCTCCCTTGTGGGTACCATCGTCGCCGGCCTGCCTCGGCCAGCCTCCCTCTTTGCCTCCGTGCTTCAGGCAGATCCAGAGGAGCAGGAGCGACGGCTCTGCACAGTGTCCGGGGCTCCTTGCAGGCCTGGAGCGGCCCCAGACAGGGTGGCCGGGCTCGTCTGGGCGACGCAGGAAGGGAGGGGCAGACTGCGCGGATGCTCGCGCGCAGGAGCGGCCGGGAATCCAGGACCCAGGACAGTCTCCGTAGCAGTCTTCGCCCACACGGTCGGACCGAGGTATAAGATCGAGGTCGATTCGGGGAGGTTGCCCTAATGTTCTTCGTGCTTGTTGGACGTTCTTGCGCATCCCGGGGAGGGTACCCTTGGATGTTCTATGTGTTTTGGCCGGAGGAGGGTTCCCATGTTCTTGAAGGATGTTCTTCTGTCTTAGGTCCGACTGTACCCTGCCGACCTCCCCCAGATGGCCGCGGACATCATCGTCAGCATCAGCAGCCAGGCCAACCCGGCCATGCCGCCGAGGGGCAAGTGGAAGACCCTGGGCGACGTGGCGCTGGAGCAGGCGGGCCCGCTGGGCCACGCCCCCCAGCCAGATGCGCGCGTGCGCCCGCCGTCTCTCCCCCCCCTCCGCCCCCTTCGTACGATCGAAGCTGGGACGGGCAAAAACGAGGACGAAAACCGTCAGCAGAGCCTGCTCTGCGACCCCTTGCGAACCCTGCCCCTACCAGTTCCGATCCACGCTGGGGTCTCAGAGCCCCCCGCTGGGGTTCACTTAGCTGCAGACATCCTCCAAGTTCTGACCCCCAGCCGGTTTTTCAGATATCATACCTGCAGGGGTCGGCTTCACATGTGGTTGCCTGTCCTGCCTATTTTGAACAGGATCTGCCGTCGGTGTCGCCGCGGGCGTTGCCCATTCGGGACAGAGGGTCGCGTGCCCATCACGCTTGCTGTTCGGCATCGGGTCCATTTGCTCCTCACGCGCAGCTCGTCCCCTCCGCTGGTTGCGGACGACCGGCCCTTTTCCGGCCCCGGCGCTCCTGCGCTCTCTCGCGCTGGAGGCGCAGCCTTGCTGCAGAGTTTTTCCCCATGTCCTAAGATGGGGTGCTTGTTATTACTGGGACGCCTCCGTCTCACACTCACCCGCCTCTTGTTCTCATATCATAAGGTCGGTTCTTATTTACTCATTCTTATTACTCAAAATCAGGCTCAGACTTACTTATTCCCAGACTTGCTCATCTCTCATCTCTCCTCCTCCTCCTTCTCCCTTCCTATTATCTCTCCTGTCCTACTCTCCTCTCCTCTCCGTTACGATGTCGTCGCACTCAGTTCAGTCATATTCAGTCTCACTCACACTAAGACACTCATGATCAGACTAACTCACTCTTAGACTCGCTCATACTCATACCTACTCATACACATATTCACTGCCCCTCAGACTCACTCACACTCAGACTAACTCACACTCAAACTCGCTCGCACTGCGACGCACTCACACACAGACCCACACACAGATCCACTCTCACTCAGACTCACTCGCACTCAGATTCGCAGATTGTGAGGATGTCTGAGGCGAGGCGCTGGTTCCATCACCCGAAGGGGGAGTAGCCAGGGGGTAGGACACTTCCCCGTTCGCGACCAGATTGTGGGGATGTCTCAAGCAGTTTGCTTATTTCGCCCCCCAGAACTTTCTCTTTTGGTGGTCCAATGCGCACCGCGAGGCATTTGGGCGCCCCAAGCGTGAGCCGCCAGGGGGTTGAACACTCCACCGTTCGCGGCAAGATTGTGAGGATGTCTCAAGCGGCTTGTTTGCTTCGGCCCCCATACTTATTTGTTTTGATGGTCCATTGCTTACAGCGGTCTATCAGGCACTTGGGCACCCCAAGGGTGACGCGCCAGGGGGTATGACCTCCCCCGTTCGCGGCAAGATCGTGGGGATGTCTCAAGCAGTTTACTTGATTCTCCTTTCTAAAAAGAGAATAGACTCTACCCCCCTCCGGACTTATCGTTTCCCTTTGGGATAGTATAATTTCATATATATATATATATATATATATATATATATTCTGCACACTCGTCCATCCTAAATATGAAATCATATCATCCCAGCTAGGCCGGGTTCCCCCCCTGAGATTCCCTTTGTAAAAAAACACTATGCGGTGACATTTTTTTGTTCTAACATAGCACTTTTTCACGAACCCCTTGCAAAAAATGAGACGAAGTGCACACGCGCGCGTCGTCGCGCGCGCATGCCGAAATCCTTCAAAAACCTTCGGTGCGGGAAGGATTTCGCAATCGAGTTTCCAAAACACATGCAACAACACATGGTTTCGCAACACAGAATTGCTAAAACAGCTTCCGCGAAAGCTCTTGCGAAATCTTAAGAAAACCATATGTTTTTCAATATTTTTCACAACATGCTACCAAATGGGCTTCGCGCGCGCTCATGTCGAAATCTGTCGAACGCCCTTGCGCGTGTGCCGTCGCGAGAATCCCCTGCAAAAAATGGGACGAAGTGCAGACGCGCGCGTCGTCGCGCGCGTATGCCGAAAACCTTCAAAGCCCATCGGTTTCGGAAGGATTTCAAAATCGTGTGTCCAAAAAACCTACAAAAACACAAGGCTTTCGCAACACGGGTTTTCAACAAAAGCGTGCGCGCGCGCTCGTGCGCGCGCGCTCTTCGTCGTCGTCGTCGTCGTCGTCGTCGCCGTCCTCCCTCCTCCCGCGTCGTCGTCGTCGTCGTCGTCGTCGCCTACGTCGTCCTCTGTCTTTCCTCGTGTTCGTCGTCGTCGTCCTCTTTGGCGTCGTGGTCGTTTCCGTCGTCGTTGTCGCCGTGGTCGTCCTTCCTCCTCCTCCCTCGTCGTCGTCGTCGTCCGTCGTCGGCGTCTCGTCGTCGTCCCTCCTATTTCGTCGCCGTCGTCGTCGTCGTCGTCGTCGTCGTTCGTCGTCGTCGTCTTCCCTCCTCCCTCGTCGTTGCCGTCGTCGGCGTCGCCGTCCTTCCTCCTTCTTCGTCGTTCGCGTCGTCGCCGTCCTCCCTCCTCCCTCGTCGTTGTCGTCGTTGTCGCCGTCGTCGTCCTCCCTCCTTCCTCGTTGTCTTCGTTGGCGACGTCGTCGTCGTCTTCGTCGTCGTCGTCGGCGTCGGCGTCGTTGTCGTCTTCGTCGTCGTCGACGTCGGTCGTCGTCGTCGTCGTCGTCGTCGTCGTCGTCGTCGTCGTCGTCGTCGTCGTCGGCGTCGTTGACGTCGTCGTCGTCGTCGGTGTCGTCGTTATCGTCGTCGTCGTCGGCGTCGTCATCGTCGTCGTCGTTGTCATCGTCGTCGTCGTCGGCGTCGGCGTCGTCGTCGTCGTCGTCGGTGTCGTCGTCGTCGTCGTTGTTGGCGTCATCGAAGTCGTTGGAGACGTCGTCGGTGTCGTCGTAGTCGTTGTCGGCGGCGTCGTCATCGTCATTGTCGCTGTCGTCGTCGGCGTCGCTGTTGTTTCCAAGTGCCACGTGGTACCCACCGTCACGGTCTTAAGAGATTTTGCTAACCAAGTTGCGGGTGGATGGGTGGGATGTTTGCGCGAGCAGTGGAGTGGACAACTCATTGCAAACAGAAATTATTTCCCCCCCTAGTCTTCTCCTTTATGGTGGTCCACTGCTTTCCGCGATATAGCAGGCGTGGCACTTGGTCACCCCAAGGGGGTGCCGCAGCGGTGCACACTGGTCCCTGTGGAGCTGGTACACATCGTTCGTTCGGTGGCCTGCCTGGAACCTCTTGGATTCGGTCCAGTGTCTTCCGCAAGCTGCAAGGCGGACCATGCTGTTCCGAGGATTCCAAGCGCTCCGCCAAAGCCGAAACATGCTCAAACTAAACACCGCCCTTCCCCCTATCTCAGTCGAGATGCTTAGAGGCCCGGAGCCAAGAGCGTCTGGGAGATGAGTGGATGGCGCGGCTCCTTGGTCGATCAACCCCCAACCGAAATCCACAAGCTCACGCAAACTGTCAGGCGTCGGGCACTCCCAACCTAGGGAGATGAGGGAAGCCTGGTGGGCCCGAGGGGCCCTCGGACTTGGGTCCAGCCACGCGACACACGGGCAAGGGACTCCTTCCAGCGCCCCCGAATCGTCACGGCAAGGCTCTAGGATGAGAAACCTCTGGCAAAGCTCCAACAAGCTTCCGAATCTACCGAGTCCACTGGGCCTCTCCAGCACCAAAGGAGACTCTGATCGCTGTGGTGGCGCAGGAGCCTCGCTGGGGATACTTACTGCCCAGACGGGCCTGGTCACGTTACTGTCGCAGGGTGCTGGGGGCTGGACCGTGGACTTCGGGGGCCCAAGCCGCCCTCGGAAAGCTATTAATAAGATAAAGCTTGGTAGTCTTGGGTCGATTCCTGACAAGGCCTGAGATCTTGAGCGCCGTTCTTCTGCCTTTGAGAAGACGGTGACGCCACACACGCACTGACGTAATCGAGCTGGAAGTCGTATCGTGTCCCAGATTCCTAGCACTCGCGACCGCAGTGAGCTCTGCAGCATCGCCTCCAGCCTGGGACGCCCACGCATTCAACCTGGAGCGCACACTGGCCGAGGAGGCCATGAGTACACACTTGACGGAAAGCAAACACCGCCTACGCTTCAGACCTTTCAGGAGCGTTCTGAGAACAATAGGAAACCCAACCTGATCGAGTGCTCTGAACCTCAATGCGAACGGCTAAATCGTCAATCCACTGACGCAAATGCGACCCTGGGCTCTGCCTCGCAGTCTGGCTGAGTGGCTCGTGCAGAAAGGCTCTCGCTCGGGAAGCTGCCTGCCCACAGCCCGCCAGGACGACACCTTGGCAGGAGACCAGGGTGCATCATGTTTCTAAGAGTGAGGAGGCGAGGGCCGAGGTACACGTCGAGGACCGGAGTGAGGAGGCGGAGTGGGTAACCCAGCTCGTGCGAGGCTTCTTCTGGATCGGACAAATAGTACAACTCACGCATATCCAGCAACATTCCCGCCACGGAGAGACCTCTCAGAGCTGCTAATTCCCCCTCCAACTCGTCAATCCAGCCAGCATGCTCGGCTGAGCTGCCGACCGTCTTGTTCAAAGAGTCGTGATTAGAAAGATCCCACGCTCCGATCCACGAGGAGTATGAGGAGGCGGAGGAGGAGGAGGAAGAAGTGGAGGAGGAGCAGGAGGAGGAGGAGGAGGAGGAGAGAAGAGGAGGGAAGAGGAGGAGGAGGAGGAGGAGGAGGAGGAGGAGGAGGAGGAGGAGGAGGAGGAGGAGGAGGATGTGGAATAGTGCTTGGAGGAGCGAAGGGGGACTGATGGTTAAATTATCTTTTTCCAGGCCCCCCCCGGCCCTAGGGTGACTTCTCCCTGGCCCGGCGCTGCTTCAAGGAGGCCAGCGACCTGGGGGCTCTGTTCTTGGTGCACACCGCGTGCGGGGACGCTGTGGACTGCGGGGGTGGGTCCTCCTTCCTCGCCAGGGCTCGAGCTAAACGCTGTTTTGACGATTTCGTGGACCGCTCCGTTTTGATTTCGTTTTGCAGCAAAGGCAGAACGAATCCAGAACGAAGACAGAACGAAGGAACAGGAAAACCAAACGAAAAAGAAAACACATTGTTCAGCTCGAGCACTGTTCCTCCCCGCTCCATCCTTCCCCTGCCCCTGTTCCAGACCTCGCTTGCTCGCTCATGGGGCCTGAGAGCCCAGCCCGCCCAAGAGCTTTCGGCTTCACTGTCGGGGGCCTGTCGCTGATCCATCGGCGCTGCGCTCGGCGTCCCCCCCCCCCGATCCTGCCCCTCCTGTCGTCTACTTTCATCCTTCCTTACTCCCGCCCCTCCCTGACTCCATTCACCTCTGGTTGCAATTCCTCTGAGGTTGCACTTAGCATTGGCGCTCGTATGTTCGTGGTCGACAATCGTCCTACTCAGTTTGAGTGCCGCTTGGTCCAAACTCAACCCCGCCTCTCCCAACATCATCCTGGGCCTGCTCGTGCTCAATCTGGCTGAGTGTTTGTCATTTGTCGTTTGTTTGTTGTCGTCATCTCGTGGCCTTCGACCCATTCTGCCATCGTGTCTAGGTTGTAGGTCAGAGGCCAATCGGGCGCCTGTGTGTATCTTTGGGGAGGCCCTCGGGAGCCTCTTGAAGGCGGTTTGGGGGCCTTTTCGGGGCCTCGTTGGGCCTGATGTGGGCCTCTTGGGGGCCTCCTGGGGCCTTTGGGGGCGCCTCGGATGCCTATGGAGGGCTCTTGGGGCCATCTTGGGGCGGAAGGCTCGAAATGTCTGTTCGGTTTCCCTAGCTGGGGCCCCTCTTGTGGCCGTCTTGGGGGCCTCTTGGGCCGTCTTGGAGCGCTGAAAGCCTGAAAAGGCGAGAATGGTCAAATTCTTCACAACACTGAGGCAAATCAATAATTTTGGCTTCTCGGGGCCTCTTGGAAGTGCTCTTGGAGCCCTCTTGGGACGTCTTTGGGGCTTACAGTATTGGGGTGTCTGGAGGCTATCTCGGGCGTCATGGAGCGATCTTTCGGCGACTTTGGGTGGGGGCCTCTTGGGGCCTTCTTGATGCGTTTGGGGGCCTTCTGAGCTCCGGAAAAGTCACGCGGCAACACGCAGGAAGCTGCAGATAATCTAGCAAGTTGGAGTCCGGGCCTTTACAACATTCATTCGCTCATGTCAGGACTGAGGATGAAGCTCTCCAAAGGACCTGAGGACACACCAACTCGTGCCTCAAGGCATGGTGGTGGATGACGGGAAGCGCCCTTAAACTCGAAGAGTCGCGCGATGGACGTTGTTTGCCCGGAGGGGCAATATTTTTCATGCGGGGGTGTCTTGGGGGGAGTGGTGGTCGGGTTCCTCTTCCGGCCTGACGTGTCGGATGACGGGAAGCGCGCTTAGACTCGAAGAGTCGCGCGATGGACGTTGTTTTACAGGCCTGGTGGGGAAAACAGAGTGAGGGTGCCCGAACGGTCTTACATGATCTGAACAAGGTGCTGTTCAGACTATGGGGCGCCCCCAGACTCTGGGGGTTGGGGGTTGCTCCGACTTTGTCTCTCGTTGTCCGACTGTGTCTCCTCGCTCCTACCCCCTGCCTCCTTCTCCTGGTCCTCCTCCCTGTTTCTCTTGCTACTCCCTCTTCGCCTGGTTTTCCAAGTCCTTTTCTTCCTCTTCCTCTTCCTCCTCCTCCTCCTCAACCTCCTCCTCCTCCTCTTTTTCTTTTTCTCCTCCTCCTCCTCCTCCTCGCCCCCAGTGCGCCCAGGAGGCTTCCAAGATGGCCCCATGACGGCCCAGGAGGCCCCAAAGACGGCCCCAAGAGGCCTCTAAGACGCCCACGACGGCCTCCAAGACGGCCCTGAAGCGCCTCAAGAGGACCCCACATCGGTTCAGAGAGGCCCCCAAGACGGCTTCCGACGGCGTCAGACCCGTCAGACGGACCAGGCACGCTTTAAGACGGCCAAGGAGAGGCCCCCAAGACGCCCCCAAGGCCCCCAAGAGGTCTAAGGAGGCCCCCTAGAGGCTTCCAAGAGGCCCCCGGGAAGCCCCCAGGAGGCCCCACAAGAGTGCCCCAAGAGACACCCAAGAGGCCTCCTCCTCCTCCTCCTCCTCCTCCTCCTCCTTCTCCTCCTCCTCCCTCTCCTGAAGAGTTTCCGGAGCGGCTGGGGGAATGCATAATCAGATAGTTTGGCCAAGCTGGGGCCCAACGTTTGGCCACATAGGCGCTTCTCAAAAAGGCTGGGGGCGGCGGTGATTCGCCGTAGGCGTCTTGGATCCGCCGCCCCCTGTGCTTGCCACAGGGGTGGACGCCGTACCAGATATTTTGCTGCTCTTGTTATTTTCAAACCCTTCCAAGTGGCCTTCGGCCCAGACCGCCTGCCCCTCGGAAGGACCAGAAGAAATGGCCCAAGATGGCCACCAAGATGCCTCCAGGGCGGCTAGGATTGCCCCAAGACGGCCCCAATATGTCTCCAAGACGGCCCAAGGTGCACCCGAGGCGTTCCAAGATGGCCCCAAGATGGCCCAGGACGGCCCCAAAGGCCCCCAATAGGTTTTTAATGCAGTCCACGAAGCCTCCAAGGGGACCTGCAGGAAGGCCCGAAGAGGCAAAGACAGCTGATTTCCCGTGGGCTCTTGACGGATTTTGACGTTTTCGGCCTGCCGACGGCCCAATGCCGCCGAAGAGACCCCCAAGATGGCCCCAAGAGCGCCCAAGAGGCCTCCAAGACGGCCCCATGACGGCCTCCAGACGGTCCCAGAGGCTCCCAAGGCGCCTCCAAGACGGCCCACGAGAGCCCACTCGTCATCGTGGTCGTCGTCGTCGTCGTCGTCGTCGTCGTCGTCGTCGTCGTTGTCGTCGTCGTCATCGTGGTCGTTCAACCTCTTCCAGTTTCCTAATCAAACCCCTCTCCCTCTTCCCCCCCTCCACCAACCCCCCACCCCCCCCCCCCTCCCCCCCCCCTCCCCACCCCCCCCTCCGCCCCCCCTCCACCTCCCCCTCCACTCCCTTTCCAACTCCCCCTCCCCCTCCACCTCCCCCTCCACCTCCACCTCCACCTCCACCCCCTCGGATGTCCCTTGGAACCTTTTTGGGAGCACCCAGGGCGCTCCAGAGGGCCCCAAGAGGGCTCCAAGACGCGCCCCAGAGACCACTGAGAGGTCTCATCCAGACGCGCTGTTCGATGACGGTTTCTGAGGCCTCTTGGGCCCTTCTTGGGGCCCTCTTAGGGCCCTCTTGGAGCCATCATATAGGCCAACAAGGGGCCCAAGAGGGCTCCAAGAGGGCCCCAAGAGGGTTCAGGAGTTATGTACCAGCGGCCGCAGGGTTGGTACATAATTCCTGGGGCCCTCTTGGAGCCCTCTTGGGACCCTCTTGTGGCCCTCTTAGGGCCAACCCGGGGCCCAGGAGGGCTCTAAGAGGGCCCTCAGAGGGCCCCAAGAGGGCCCCAGGAGTTATGTACCAGCGGCCGCTGGGTTGGTACATAATTCCTGGGGCCTTCTCGGGGCCCTCTGAGGGCCAACCAGGGGCCCAAGAGGGCCCTCTTAAGGCCAACCAGGGGCCCAAGAGGGCTCCAAGAGGGCCCTCGTCGTCGGCGGCGTCTTCGGCGTCGTCGTGGTCGTCGTCGTCGCCGTCGTCGTTGTCGTCGTCGTCGTCGTCGTCGTCGTCGTCGGCGGCGGCGGCGGCGGCGGCGGCGGCGGCGGCGTCGGCGTTGGCGTCGGCGTCGGCGTCGGCGTCGGCGCCGGCGTCGGCTTCGGTGTCGGCGTCGTTATCGTCGGCGGCGTGCTCGGTGTCGTGCTTGGTGTCGTCGTCGTCGTCGTCGTCGTCGTGGTCGTCTTCGTCGTCGTCGTCGTCGCCGGCGTCGGCGTCGGCGTCGGCATCGTCTTCGTCGTCGCCGTCGTCGTCGTCGGGGTGTCCTCGTCGTCTTTGTCGTCTTCGCTGTCGGCGCCGCCGCTGCGTATCGTCGTCGTCGTCGTCGTCGTCGTCGTCGTCGTCGTCGTCGTCGTCGCCTTTCCCCCCCCCTCCCACCCCCTTGGGTTCGAACCCCGGGGGGGTGTCTTTTACCCCCTGCCTGGTTCCGAGAAGAGGGGGCCCCCCTCCCCCCTGGGTTCGAACCGGGGAGGGTTGGGGGTACCCGCCCCCTGGGTTTCCTTGGGGTGGTGGTGGGCATAATTTTCCAACCAAGCGCCCGCGAAACGCGCTTTCTCGCTGCTTTAGGACTCCTTACGTGAAAAGTAAGGCCCTCGCTCGAGACCCTTCTGTTAACACGGAAGCTCTCGCTCGAGGCATCCTCATAAAATGGAGCTGTTAAAATCAATGGCGAAACCTTCGGATTTCCGAACATGGCGCTCTCGCCTGAGACATCCTCAAACATATGAGATGTTCCAGTCGCTGTTGTACGACATCGTTTGGCCATAAATGGCCCAAGAAGCGACACCATTGAACAACCATTTGTTTTGCAATACTTTTCTTCTACAGTACGCGTTTTGCTCGAGACATCCTCGAGCAATGCCTTCAGGCGGGTCTTCGAACACATCAGATTATGATGAAGATGCCGAGGATGGCGTTGATGATGATGATTATGATGATGCTGTGCTGACGCTGATGTCGAAGCTGATTCTTGCGCTAATGCTGTCGGTGATGATTGCGATGCTGATGATGATAGTTGTGGCGATGATTATCGTGCTGATGATGCTGCTGATGATGGTGACGATTGTCACGATGATATGCTAAACTCAGCGTTTCGCCTGAGACATCCGCAGACCATTGGAAATTTAATCGCTGGCGCAATCTTCGGATCTTCGGAAATTTGGCTCTCGCCTGAGACATCCTTGAAACCGTATCCTCATGTTGAAACAGCTGCTGTGAGACCTCTCGTATTAACACTGAAGCTGTCGCTCGAGCCACTCTCCAAACAGTAGAGCTGGGAAAATCGCTGGCGACACCTTCGGAGCTCCGAATAT